TCCCTGTCTGGTTTTGGAATGAGGGTTATGATGGCTTCCTAGAATGAATTCGGTAATGAACTTTCTCTTTCAATTTCATTGAAGAGTTGGAGGAGTATTGGTGTGAGCTCTGCTTTGAAGGCCTTGTAGAATTCCACTGTAAATCCATCTGGTCCTGGGCTTTCTTGGATGCGAGGTCTCTTATTGCTGTTTCTATTTCAGTGCTTGATATGGGCCTGTTAAAATGGTTTAACTCATCTTGATTTAGTTTCGGCAAGTTGATATTTGCTAGGAAAAGATCCATTTCTGCCAAGTTCTCAAACTTATTGGCATAAAGGTTTGAGAAGGATTCCCTTATAACATTCTGAATCTTGGTTCTTTCTGCAGTGATGTTTTCATTCTCATCTCTGAGTTTACTTATTTGGGTGTGTTCTCTTTTTCTGATAAGACTTGGTAAGGGTCTGTCAATTTTGTTAATCTTTTCGAAGAAGCAATTCTTTGTTTTGATTCTTTCTTTGTTTTGGGGGGGGGTACTAATTCGTTTATTTCTGATTTAACTTTAATGGATTGGGGTTTATCTTGCTGCTCTTTTTCAAGGAGGTTCAGATGTCTCATCAAATTTTTGGTTTCAGATCTCTCCAATTTGTTGATGTAGGAACTCAGAGGTATAAACTTGCCTCTGAATACTGCCTTTGCTGTGTCCCAGAGGAGATGGTAATTTGTGTGTTAATTTTTGTTGAATATCATGAACACTTGAATTTCCTTTCTAATCTCTTCCATGACCCACTGGTGATTCAACATTGTGTTGTTCAGCCTCCATGTGTTACCGGACTTTCTTTGGTGGCTTTTGGTGTTGAGTTCTAATTTCATTCCCTTGAGGTCTAAGAGAATGCACGGTATAACTTCAATGTTTCTGAATTTGTACAAGTTTGCTTTGTGACCTAAAATGTGGTCTATTTTGGAAAATGTTCCATGTGCTGCTAAGAAAAACTTGTATTCTGATGCTGCTGGATGATATATTCTTAGATGTCTGTTAAATCTATTTGATTTTTCCAGTTGTTTAGATCTTTGATTTGTCTGTTGAATTTTTGCGAGTTGATCTACGTAGTGGGGATAGTGGTGTGTTAAAATCCCCAACAATTAATGTCTTTGGATCTAAGTGGCATTTGTGGGAAAGAAGTGTTTCTTGGATAAATTTGGGTGCTCTGTTGTTTGGCGAATACTTATTTATCATTGTAATATCCTCCTGAAGGAGAGATCCCCTAATTAGTATGTAGCGATCTTATTTATCTCTTATCACTAATTTTTATTTGCCGTATTTTATCAGATATTAAGATTGGAACTCCCGCCTGTTTATGCGGGCCATTTGCTTGGTAGATTTTGTCCAGCCTTCACATTCAAAATGTGTTTGTTTTTATGGACAAGGAGTGACTCCTGAAGGCAGCAGATAGAAATGTCTTGCTTTTCAATCTAACTAGAAAGTCTATGTTGCTTAATTGGAGAGTTCAGTCCGTTAATGTTGAGAGTTAAGACTGAGAGGTGTTTGGGAGTTCCTGCCATGTTATCCACCATTAGGGGGCTAGGCAACTGGGTCCTTCCTATGGTTCTTGGATTCTCAGTTTGGGTGTGGTTTCTTGGCCTTTATTGTGGTCTTGTTGGTTTTCTATGTGTAGGACATCTTTAAGTATCTTGACATCTTTAAGTATCTTTTGTAGGGCTGGTTTGGTGGAGATATATTGTTTCAATTTTTCTTTGCTATGGAAGGTTTTTATTTGACCTTTGGTTATGAAGTAGATTTTAGCTGGGTTCAGTATTCTTGGTTGATAGTTGTTTGTCTTTAGGGCATGGCATACATCATTCCAGGCTCTTCTTGCTTTAATTGTGTCTGCCTAGAAATCTGAGGTGATTCTAATTGGTTTCCCTTTTTAGGTGATTGATCTTTTCTCTTTGGCAGCATTAATTATCTTTCCTTGGTCCTAATTTATCCTGTACGGATTGTAATGTGACAGTGGGATATCTTTGTTTTGGTCTATTTGTGGTTCTAATAGCTTCTTGTATCTGAATAGGCCTATCTTTTTAGATGTTTGGGAAGTCTCTGCTAGGATCCTGCTAAATAAATTTCCTAGACCATTAACTTCTGTCTCTAGTTGCTCCTCTATACCCATTATCCTCAGAGTAGGCCTTCTGATGGTGTCTTCCAAATGCTGAATAGATCTATCATATTTCTTGGATTTGTCTTGGATAGTTGTATGTTCTTTCTCTATAATATCTAGGTTGTGTTCAATCCCTGAGATTCGATCTTCTGCATGGTCTAACCTACTCTCAAGACTTTATACTTTGTTTTGTTATTTCTTTTCCTTCTAATTGGTCAGCTATAATGGTTTCAAATTCTTTGTTCGAGCTTTGTTTTAGATCTTGTATGACCTTCTTTACTTCTTTAATTTAGTGTTCAGTGTTTATTCTTAAATCACTTAGTTGATTGGTTATGGTTTCCTTGGACTCCCATTGCTTCTGTCGGACCCCATTCAGCACTCCCTTTGTGGTCTCCCTGAATTCTTTAAGCTGTCTGTTTATGGATTCCATGAATGCCTCTATTGATCTTTGTCTATTCTCATCCCTTTCTTGCAATTCCTGTATTACTCTTTGATTAGCTTCTTCACATTCACGCAATCCCTGTAGTATTCTTTGAGTGTTCACAGCCTGCTCACGCCATTCCTGACTTTCTCTTTGTCTGTTCTCAGCCTCCCCATGCAATTCTTGTATTAAGTTTTGACTGTTTTTGATTAATAAGTATTTGTTTAATGAATTTTGGTGCTTCAGTGTTTGGTGCATGGATATTTAAAATTGTTATATGCTCCTGAAGGAGAGTTATAGTTATTAATCTGTAATGCCCTTTTTTGTTTATTCCCAATAATTTTAATATGACATTTATTTCATCTGATATTAGGAATACTACTCCAACCTGTTTACGGGAGCATTTGCTTGAAAGATATTCAAGGCATTCAATTTGAGAATGTTCATTTTTGTTGGCAAGATGTGTGTCTTGTGGATGGCAGATGGATAGGTCTTACTTTTTTATCCAATTCCCAAATCTGTGCCATTTATTTGGATAATTGTCCATTAACATTCAGAGTTGAGACGTTTTTGGTAACTCCTGACATGTTATCCATCTGCTAGGTGGCTGTGCCTTATCGTTTCCTGTTATTTTGATCTGGCTCTCTAATAAAGAGTGTTCTCAACCACTATTGTATGTGGGTTGGTTTTATATACGTAGGACATCTTTAGTTTCTGTGCTTGCTTGATGGAGAAAGTTATTTCAATTATTCTTGTTATGAAGTTTTATATTTCTCCCTCAGTTATGAAGGAGTGTTTTACTGGATACATTATTCTTGGTTGGTAATTGTTTGCATACACCATTTCAAGCTCTCCTTGCTTTCATGGTCGCAGATGAAAAATTTGTATCTATTCTGACAAGTTTTCCTTCATTAGTAATCAATTATTCCTTTCTGATAGCTTCCAGGATCCTTTCCTTGGACTCTATTGAACCTGTGGGAATTACAGTGTTGAGTAGCATATTCTTTTATGATCTGGTCTGTTTGGATTTCTAAGGTTCTAAGGCTTCTTGAACCAGAATGTGTCTATATTTTTCCATGGTCAGGAGTTGTTCTGCTATACTTCTACTAGATATGTTTCCTATCTCTTTAATAGCTGACTTTCCTACTTCCTGAATATGTAATCTTAAAGTGGGCCATTTGATTGATCCCTAAAGCTCTTGCCAGCTCCTTTGCTGTTAATTTCCATGAATTATCTACATCTTCACTCATATCATTTTGCCAAGAGAAGATATATTCCTTGCACCCGTTTTCATCTGTGATATTTGTTTAGCTTTATCTTTGTGGATGCCATGAAATCTTCTACTAATCTACTGAGTCTAATCATGCTCAGCATTTGTCCTGTGTATGTTTTCTTTCTTTTCATAAGCATTTTCATCACCCCGTTTTCAAATCATTTTTAGAACTAACTTCTAGGTCCTTCATTATCTTCACTATAGCCTGGTTACTTTCTGTAAGAATTATGCTTCCTTTGATTGATATTTTTCTTGCATTTCTATAGATTTTTTTCTGTCCATTTTGAATCACTTGCATTTTCATGTGGTCTCCATTATTTCCTTCTTGGAACTGTGTATGTTTATTTCAGTGTATTAATTTCTTTATAATGTTCCCACCCACAGACTTAACTTTGCACACATAGACATGACAAAAGAGAAAGTCAGGTATTTTGATCTTCTTTATTCCTCTATGTTCTTTTCTTTACAATATCTCAATCTAAATATATTAGGAAAAGAGTAATGATTTATTTTAATTTCCCATGGTGGCTTTGGACAATGGATTTCAATGTAAAGTTTCCTCAAAAATTCTTTTCTCATCCTCCATGTTGAAGGTTCCTTTTTCTATAATTAATACCTTGGAGTTGGATGACAGCCTATGGCTTCATTACAAAAATAACAATAAAATTCCTCCACCTGATATTTAAGCTCTTGTTCTGGTTGATATTTCAGGAAGAACTGATGATTTTTGTTGGGTTTGTGAGCAGAATCTTCATTAAATGACACTTTCCTTCTGAAAGATTCTATTAAATTGAAGATTTGTTAGTTCAACCTGCAATATAACCAAATAGCATAACTGAGTGACTGAAACAGATTTTTCACACAGGTGGAGGTAGTCACCCTCCAAGGTGAAGGCAACAGAATATTTTGTGTTTCATCAAAGCCTCCCTAGTTTTTAATGGAATATTTTTTATGGGCTGTATGATTATGGTAGTGGAGGTGAAGCAAGCTCTCAGCTTAACTAAGTTTCTGAATGTCATTCCTGACAAATTCCTTTCATGTCCTTATATAAACTTATATACAAACACAAAATGCTATATTCATATTTCATCCCAATTGGAGAGAAGCAAGTATTGATTACACAAAAGTCATAATTTTGAAATGCTTTTCCTGAATTGGTATGCTCATTATGCAGGTTTTCCTTCAAAAACTACCAGTTTGTTTTGTCCTTGGCTTTTGCTATTGAAGAGATCAACAAAAACCCTAATCTTTTACATAATTTGACTCTGGGATTTAATATCTATGATTTTCTATATGGAACATGGACAGCATTTATAAATCCCTTTACTTGCCTCTTTGGGAACTACAAGATTCCGAACTATAACTGTATGAGAGACAATCAGCCTATAGCAGTACTTACAGGAACTTCAGGAGCAATATCTTCCCAGATTGGGACACTGTTGGGCCTCTACAGGTTTCCACAGGTGAGAGTGGGAGGGTTGGGGAATATTAAGAATGCCTAATTTGGTGCTAAGTCAGGTTTTGGAAGAGAATGATAGGAAGAGCCTTGATTTATGAACCTTGCAATTTTGTCATACCAGAGAGTAAGTATTCAAAGGTAAATATGAACTTTATAGTCTGATTAGTTTGAAAAAAGGCTGAAAAGATACAGCTGAAAAAGTTATTTTGGAGTTTTAAACCTTAACATTGATGTTCTTTAAGAAATCAGAAAATGGAATATGATTTTAAAATGTCATGGCATGCTTGGCTTGATGCTGATGGCTCACATCTCTAATCCTATTGACTCAGGAAACATTTCTAAATCACCAGAGAAAAAGCAGGCAGTAGCATGTGTATCAAGTGGTAGAATGCTACCTTTAAGAAAAAAAAGCCAAGAACTACATAAGATCCTGTTACTGGGCCTTTACTACTACTACTACTACTACTACTACTACTCACACACACACACACACACACACACACACACACACACACACACACACACACACATGCAGGCTCATGTGTAAGATGTATTGAATGAAAAAGTCAGGCTCAGAAAGAGAAAGGAGGTAATGTTCTCCCACATGTGGAAGAGGAAGAAGGAATAGACGAGTGGGAGAAAACAACATAATATACAATGTACATATGTGAAAATGGAACTAAGAAAGTCAGTGAATATGTAGGGTCGATATAGCTTACAGGAGTTGAAGGAAACAGTGACAAGGTTTAAGAGTTTTTGTAAAACAAATTGATATGTTGTAAAATAATTTTAAAAATTAAAAATTTATTTCTTTCAAAAAGTAAATGGAAAACATACCTTCCATCTACTTTACATGGTTATATAACATCATGACTGGGATTATGATGGATGAAAATCTTTTCTTTCATGCTGCATCATATTCTTATTCCCTTTAGCTTACCTCTGGGCCTTTTGATCATGTTCTGAGTGACAATAACATGTTTCCTGGTCTTTATCAGATGGCCCCAAGAGACACATCAATAGCCAGTGCCATGGTCTTATTATTACTTCACTTCAGCTGGAATTGGGTGGGACTGATAACTTTACAAGATGAGAATGGTTTATGGATTCTTCCTGCATTGAAAGAAGAGATGACCAAGAACAGAGTTTGTGTAGCTGTTGAGCTAACATTCCCAAATTATGCCATCTCGAATATTTTCAAAATCATGGCACATTATAACCAGATAAATAAATCTTCAGCAAATGTAGTCATCATATATGCTGATAATGAATTCATGCATTATTTAATGATGTGTATTGAACAAATATTAATAAAAGGAAAAGTTTTTATCATGAACACTCAATGGGATTCAACCCTGAGAAAAAGATATTTCATTCCAGGTTCATTCCATGTACCTCTCATTTTTTCACACCATCGCCCAGATGTTTCTGGATTCACAGATTTTCTCAAATCAGTTAACCCTTCTAAATACCCAAAAGACTTTTTTCTTGCTCGGCTGTGGTTTCTCTCTTTTAATTGCTCAGGTTCTGAGTCTGACATTGTAAAGTGGGAGAACTGTCCTCATGATGCCTCCTTGGACTGGTTGCCTAAACACACATTTGACAAGACAATGTCTAGGGACAGTTACACTATCTACAATGCTGTGTATGCTGTGGCCCAGGCTCTCCATGAGATGCTGCTTCACCAAACAGAAACACAAACAATGAGAAATAGAAAAGTGATGGTGCTTTCCCCTGCACAGGTAAGGTCTTCTTTATTGGATGTCACACACCAAAAGAAAGTTAATTCATAGAGAGATTTCTTACTCTATGAAATTAAATATTTGAGGTATTGTCTGAAAACCCAAGATACTATACTTCTTTAAATATCTGTGAGAATCTCTAGACATGTGTTCATGTGCTCTTCATGAAAAGCAGGCCAGGAACAAGGACAAGATATATTCCATGTTTCTAAAAATTCTTCAGTTACAAATCACCTCAACATGCTAATAGTCAATGTTTTGAAAGCTATAAATAATGTTTTACTCTGCATTTCCTAAGTAATTGCAAATGGTGACCTTCTGCACAGAATTATCTATATTTTTAATAAGTGATTGAGTTTTGTTCTATTTTATGTATTAAAATTTTACCAAGCTCAAAATAAAGGTAATCACAAAATTAGTGGATGTGGAAAACCATAGGTAGGTAGGTGAATGAAAATTGTTCCACTTATGACTATTTACAAGGAATTGGTTTCCTCTTGAAAAGAGGCCTTCTATTTCCTTGCTGAGTGAACAGGATTACCAACACTGTTGAACCTATGGGAATTACAATGTGGAATTGATGATCTGGTCTGTTTGGATTTCTAAGGTTCTAAGGCTTCTTGAACCAGAATGTGTCTATATTTTTCCATGGTCAGGAGTTGTTCTGCTATACTTCTACTAGATATGTTTCCTATCTCTTTAATAGCTGACTTTCCTACTTCCTGAATATGTAATCTTAAAGTGGGCCATTTGATTGATCCCTAAAGCTCTTGCCAGCTCCTTTGCTGTTAATTTCCATGAATTATCTACATCTTCACTCATATCATTTTGCCAAGAGAAGATATATTCCTTGCACCCGTTTTCATCTGTGATATTTGTTTAGCTTTATCTTTGTGGATGCCATGAAATCTTCTACTAATCTACTGAGTCTAATCATGCTCAGCATTTGTCCTGTGTATGTTTTCTTTCTTTTCATAAGCATTTTCATCACCCCGTTTTCAAATCATTTTTAGAACTAACTTCTAGGTCCTTCATTATCTTCACTATAGCCTGGTTACTTTCTGTAAGAATTATGCTTCCTTTGATTGATATTTTTCTTGCATTTCTATAGATTTTTTTCTGTCCATTTTGAATCACTTGCATTTTCATGTGCTCTCTATTATTTCCTTCTTGGAACTGTGTATGTTTATTTCAGTATATTAATTTCTTTATAATGTTCCCACCCACAGACTTAACGTTGCACACGTAGATATGACAAAAGAGAAAGTCAGGTATTTTGATCTTTATTCCTCTATGTGCTTTTCTTTACAGTATCTCAATCTAAATATATTAGGAAGAGAGTAATGATTATTTTAATTTCCCATGGTGGCTTTGTACAATATATTTCAATGTAAAGTTTCCTCAAAAATTCTTTTCTCATCCTCCATGTTGAAGGATCCTTTCTCTATAATTAATATCTTGGAGTTGGATGACAACCTATGACTTCATTACATAAATAACAATAAAATTCCCTCAGAAAGACTATTTTTATTCTTTGATAGATTTTCTTCTGTGTAACTTCGTTACATATCTTTAATATTCTTAAATTCTGAATCAGAAATTAAGGGAGACAGAAAATTATCTTACTTCACATTTTCCATCTTAACTCTGGGGTGTACTTCACCGTAATATGATGTTTCCCTTTTAGCTACATTCTTTTCTGAAGAATATCCAGTTTCACAATCCTGCTGGAGATCAAGTGATTCTTCATGAGAAAAAGAAATTGGTGGCAGAGTATGATATTGTGAACATTTGGAATTTTCCAGAAGGTCTTCATTTTGAGATGAAAGTAGGAAAGTTTTCCCCATATACTCCGCATGGTCATCAACTGACTTTATCTGAAGATCTGGTAGAGTGGACAATAGGAACTACAAAGGTTGTTTGGATTCAACTGTAATGACTTTAATGATATATAAGTAAACAAATTTTATCCTTAAAATTTATACCTGGTTGAATGCCAGTATCTTGCACCTATAATACAGTTACATAGCTGGCTGAATATAATTTTTACAAAGCTGTGCTAAAAAGCAAGGCTTTGACACTCACCTTTAATTAACCATCATTAAAGCTGGAAGTGTAGCAGTATATTACCCATCAGTGCTAGTAGTAAGCAACATAGCTCAGATACACAGCATAGGCTCTCATTTCAAGACAATTCTGCCCCCCAACACACACACAATTTATACCCTATATGCTTACTAAAATCCTAGTATTGTATATTTAAAATATTTCCACATAAGAAATTGTATTGGCCAACATAAGAAATTGTATTGGATATGAAAAGAACAGCATAATTTAACAGGGCTGGGATATGGGTGTTTATGCTTCTAATCCTGTCTACTCAGGTGTCTGACAGCCTCAGATCTAAGACTACTAAAGGTTTGTTTAAAGCTCAACTGTGCACAAAAATCTATGCGAATCTCATCTCAATTAACCACAAAAAAGCTCAAGTGGAAATTTGGCTCAAGTAGTAAAATGCTAATTTGAGCACAAAAAGCTCAAGATCAGTGCCCAGAGTATGAGTTCAAGACCCAGGATTAGCTCCTATAAATAAGTTAACAGTGCATTTCTAAAAGTTTGCTGAGAATGTTATTATAAATTCTGAATTGCATTTTTCGTGGCAAGTTTCTATGCTGCGACAAAGTATTAGAGCAATCACTTTATGTGTTTTACAAGTTTATTTCGCTCCCTCTTGTGGAAATTCTATTCAATGGTTACTTGCCTGCTGCTTAGGCACCTTTGCTGAGAGGAATCAGTGAAAGAGCCCAAGCAAAACCAAGATTCCCATCACATGGACACTGTATAAATAAGAAGATAGGATGGGTGTGGTGTTCAAATAACAGGGAGGCCTGTGCGTTATTTTACAACATACTTTTCAAGCTTCAAAGAGGATACTTTCTCCTTACTCTTCATAGGTCACAAATGAGTAGTAAACAAATAATGACATGAATTCAAGGAAAGTCCATAGGGCTGGCCATTAGGACTTACTTTCTCACCATTAATTGCCAACTTTTAAAGTTCTCACACTTCTTAAGAATTCAATAGTCTTGGTAGAGATCAAGGTTATAGGACATAAGCCACTTGTGGTATGATGTGGAATCTATACTGACACTGAATTAACTGACCAGATTCATGTGCATAAAATACTATGCTTAATAATTTTATGGTTTAAAATAATGGAAATATTGGAGTGTCAGGTAAAAGTCTGAACAGTTACTGAAACAGATCTGATTTTCCTCAGCCTCCTCACTCTGTCTGCAGTGAAAGTTGTGGTCCAGGATTCAGGAAATCCCCTCAAGAGGAAAAGGCTGCCTGTTGCTATGATTGTATCCCTTGCTCAGAGAACGAGATGGCTAATGGAACAGGCAAGTTCATGACTTGGGGAGAAATTTATATTCTCTCCTAGTGTCCCCAAATCCATGCAATGAAAAAGTTGTGTAGTAGGATAGCAACATCGAAGAGTTCCTTCCTTCACTTTAGTAGTTTAATTGTGAACTTAGAGGATGCTGTTTTTTGGAGAAAAAAAACAATTCACGGGCTCTGAATTTTGTGTAGGATTAATTTTTTACACTCTCTTGTATGTATGTTTATTCAACTAATCACTAATGTAAGTTTAACATCCATCATATTAAGTGCAAAGTTTTTAAAAAGATGAGATCTCCATTTTACTCAAAATTAACGTTAAAATACAAAGAAAACAGAGACCTTGCTCATCTTTATTTCCCGGTGCCCAGGACATTCTTTCAACAGAGAATTTGCTGTGGATTGAGTAAGATGCAGGAACAAGGTTTGTGAACAGAATGACTTTACAACAGCAATTTGATTTTATGTTGCCCAATTCATGACAGGCAAATTGGAGAGACAAATATAACAACTGCAAGAAATAGCTTCAGTGCTCCTATTTATATTGTTCAGAGACATACAGGGAAGTACAAGCCCTATGATGCACGCTTTTAGATGAGGGGTTTGAAAAGTGCACACATGGCTGAGAAAAGTTATGGCAACATGAGGAAGTCTGGAAATATTTTTGATGGGATGTTAGAAATGGCAAGAAATTATGTGTGTGATAGACACTTTGGGCATAAAAACTTTCTGTTGGTGTGGATTAGGGGTAGAGTGCTTTCCCAGCATGCATGAAGTCCCAGGTTCAATGCCTCAGTACCACATAAACAGAAAAAACCAGAAGTGGTGCTGTGGCTCAAGTAATAGAGTGCTAGTCTTGAGTGAAAGAAGATCAGGGACAGCATCCGTGGCCAGAATTCAAGCCTTATGATCCACAAAAAAAGCAAATATTCCCAACTATTACCAATATGTTCAGTATCTATTTTTTAACCAGTCCTGGGGCTTGAATTCAGAGCTTGGGGACTGTTCCTAAGTTACCCTCACTCAAGGCTAGTGCTCTACCACTTGAGCTACAGTGCCATTTCTGATTTTCTGGTGGTTAATATGAGATAAAAGCCTCATGGACTTTCCTACATAGGCTGGCTTTGAACCATGATCCTCAGATCTCAGCGTCTTGAGTGACTACTACTACACATGTAAGCCACTGGCACCTGACTAATATTTGCTTATATCCAGTAAGTATTGACAAGTTAATATTATCTCTATGCAGGGATTTTCTAATATCCTTTTAAGTATTGAAAAGGGACAGATGCTTATGATGATTATTTGATTTCCTCACCAGATATGGAACAATGTGTGAAATGCCCTGGTTATCAATATGCCAACACAGAGAGAAACCAGTGTCTTCAAAGAGCTGCAAGTTTCCTGGCTTATGGAGAGCCCTTAGGGATGGCCTTGGCCTGCATGGCTCTTTGTTTATCTACACTCACAGCATTTGTTCTTGGAGTCTTTGTGAAACATCGGAACACCCCCATTGTCAAGGCTAATAACCAGGCTCTCAGCTACATCCTGCTCATCTCCCTCATTTTCTGTTTTCTCTGTTCTTTGTTCTTTATCGGCTGCCCCAACACAGTCACCTGCATTCTACAGCAAACCATATTTGGAGTTGCATTCACGGTAGCTGTTTCTGCTGCCTTGGCCAAAACTGTAACTGTGGTTCTAGCTTTCAAGGTCACATCTCCAGGGAGAAGGTTGAGGTGGTTGCTGCTATCAGGGGCTCCTAACTTCATCATTCCCATCTGCACTTTGATCCAGGTGACTTTCTGTGTACTCTGACTGGGGACTTCACCTCCATTCATTGATACAGATGCCCACTCTGAACATGGCCATGTCATCATTGTGTGTAACAAGGGCTCCCTTACTGCTTTCTATTCTGTCTTGGGATACTTGGTTCTCCTGGCCCTAGCCAGCTTCATTGTGGCTTTCCTGGCCAGGAACCTGCCTGACTCCTTCAATGAAGCAAAGTTCCTAACCTTCAGCATGCTGGTGTTCTGCAGTGTCTGGCTCACTTTTGTGCCTGTCTACCATAGTGCCAAGGGGAAAGTCATGGCAGCTACAGAGGTCTTTTCCATATTGGCTTCCAGTGCAGGGCTCCTGGGCTGCATCTTTGTCCCCAAGTGCTACATCATCTTGTTAAGGCCAGAAAGAAATTTTCTGCATGGCTTCCGGGATATAACACACCATGAGAAATAAGCCCTCAAGATAAAACTTACATGTATGATCAAATATGTAGAAGGCTAATAGTAAATTCTGCATTACATTTTTCCATCTGATATTAGTTTATATTGCTGAAATCAATTCGATGAATAAGTGATTCATTCGTTTCTCTAGTAGTGGTAAAGCCACAAATTGTAGCCAGAGCCAGTAATTTTGAATTTCATTCTATAGATTTTTTGTTCTTAACATGTACTCTGCACTTGTCCAATTATCATCATTAGTATATTTACACTGTTTCTAGTATTCTAATTGGATTTTTAATCATTTGCTTAATTTTTTTTGTTGCCAGTCCTGGGTCTTGATCTTAAATCCTGGGTACTGTCCCTGAGTTTGTTTATTTATTTGTTTGTTTGTTTAAGGCTGGTGCTTTATATTTGAGCCACAGCTTCACTTTTAGCTATGTAATCGTTAACTAGAAATATTATTCTCTTGACCATCCTGCCCAAGTTAACTTTAAACCATTATAAACAAATCTTAGCATCCTGTGCAGCTGAGTTAATGGATATTTTTCCAAAAGTTAAAGTAAATTATCTTCCTACTTTTTCATCATCATTATTCTTAATCACAACTCATTATAATTGTCCAAAAAGTTCCATATTTTAATATACTCAATAGAGTTTATTTTGCTTCATAGTTGTGTATTTCCATTCACACATCTGCCTTTTTCTATATTCCTTAATCTATTTTGTTGTATCAGTCTCCCACATCCTCTCTTATTTCATTCACTTTTGCTTTCATTTTATTCTCTTTCTTCTTCCATCTCCCTCTCTCCTTAGCCTATATTGTTTTAGAATTTCAAGAATGCCTTTATATGCTACAAAAATACAATTCATTTGTATATCATAATGTATTGTCTTTATGAAGTAATAGCTGAGGAACTTAGAGACTCATAAAAGGTCCATTATCCATGGCTGGATATACTTTTCAAGTTATTTTTGTTTAATCACTTAAAATATTATTTAAATTCTATCTCTATATACATTTTTCTTCTTATATTATCAATTGATGCTGTATCTGTTGGTACCAAGTAAATGTTACCTTTGCAATATTTCAGTTTTATGAGAAATGTATTATTCGTTATGAAACAGACAGATATTGGTTTCTCTACTAAGTTTAAAGTAACACATGACTATGACATACTGTAACATGTTATGTCTTTCTGTTCACTCCTTTGGTTTATTGATTTTTACTACTATTAGGTAGTTCTACAAAAGCCATCACTTCAACATATCAATTTATGGGTACACTGACATATGATCTACTGCAAGAGTGATTATATGTTAAAAATGGACTTATATTGCTTTGATTTTAAATTGGAATTATTGACCAAATAAAAAAGCTGCATTGTGTTTATATTCCTTGCAAAAGGAATACTACTTAGCAAATATTACTGCTATTGGTTAGTAAAACACTGATTACCCACTTAGTAGGAAGCAGTTCACACTTATCACATCTTTCTTGTATGTGCTTATTTACTTTTATTTGTATCTCTTATTCTTTTTGCTGCATTTTTATCATATCTTAAGAGGTACATAATGATCTATTATGCAGAAGTGAGAATGCATTTTGACCAAGAGGAAGGAAAGCAATTTATCAAGTTTGAGAAAGAATAAAGAGATAAGGGATGATTCTTAAGACATCCTGTCAATATTCAGCATATGTTATAGTAAATTGCATAGCTCAACCTCTGGTGTGACATTGGTGATAATAAGGCAAAGAAAAGATGATATTCAAAGGATTAATAACCACTTAAATGAGGAGTCATGAGCTGAGCAGGGCACTTCAACTGGTAGTAATATCCTAGAGTAAATATACACATACAATATTTTATGTATATATGTAGTGAGTATTTACTAATGGAGGCAGAAGTGTCGGTTGTCTTAGTTCTCTCACACCTCCACAGGATATCTTCATTTGAGGCACAAAACAGCATAAAACTCTATCATCCTGGAAAAATGCTGCTATATACTTTTACTTTATAGTTCCTCCTGGAAGGATAAAGAAGACCATGCACTCTTTTACACGCACACACATACACACACACACACACACACACACACACACACACACACACAAATAAAGATGAACAACTCTGAAAGATGCAAGGAATTATTATAAAATCCAAACCATAGCATCCATACTGGTGATAGAAACAAGAATCAATCAGAAACTGGTGGCTCACTGTAATCCAAGCTATACAGTATGCTGAGATATGAGAATGGTAGTTTAAATCCATCCCTGGCAGGAAATCCATGAGACAATAATCTCCAATTAATGATCATAGAACCAGAAGAGGAATTGTTGGTCAATTTGTTTGAGTGTCAGCCTTGAGCAAAAAAGGGCTCATGGACAGTACTTCTGCCATGAATTTAAGATCTACAACCCTATCCCCCCCCAAAGAAAACAACTCATATAAACGCTAAGTTCTTTCATATAAAATCTCTAAAAACAAAGACAAAAAAATCAAATGTATTTTGGAGATATGCTGAAGGAAGAAAGAAACCAAATTTGAAAACAGTTCAGGAAGCTTTTTGATACTTTAAAAAAAACTCTAAAACCTACAAGAAGCATACCGAGCATAGTGATGCTGGAAGATGCCCTGACTATGGGCTGCAGAACTCCAGATAAGGTTGTTTATAGATCATTAAGCTACTTGCGTGTTACTAAGCTCTTGTCAAAGAAAAACCTCCGAAGAATCACTGCATAATGGTAGCTCTCTATGCAAATATCTGTCATCACATTGGTTGCTACTTGATCAGTTCTTCAAGGGAAAACAAGTCAAAGTATTCCTATCAGATCAGGAAGAGCTATAACATACATGAGAATGAGGTTTCCAGAAAAATTAAGCAAGGCACATAGTTTTTGAGAGAATTTTCACCTTTCTTTTAAAACTGCTGTTCAAATGAACTATACACCACATACAGCTATATTTCCTATAGTATAGTTGTTAGAAGTGAAGGGAAACATTCTGTATTAGCCCTCTATTTTTTAAGAAAGACCATGGACTGAAGAAAACATTTTAGTTGTGTTACCCAAATTTGAAGATGGTAAAAGCATAATAAAAAGGCTGTAGACAACCAAACAATAAAATGAAGCCATGTTATAATATATTAATGCCACAGAAACTACCTCATAAGGACTGAAATAAAGTAAAAAGTACCCAAGTAAGTTACCCCTCCTACTAATCATCTGGAAGTATATACTACATTCTGACATAATTCCATTGGAGTACCTTGACACACACACTTTTGGTCATTCTCAAACAATCTGATTTCAGTGACAAGTGAAAATCTAGTCTCACCTCTTTGGCCTCAATTCTTCTACCTAAAAGAAAGGAAGGTTTAAAGGAAAGAGGGAGAGTTTAGTTACTCTTCTTACTCTAACTTGATTCCCTACTTCTATAAAAGTAAAAGCTTAACACTGTTTTCTTAGAAGCAAGACATGAAAAGTTTTGTAAAACTTTGGTCTGAAATATAGGACTAAGCAGGGCCTTGAAAATATATTGCATTCCTTAGTCTCCCACATTGAAATTATAGTAAAATTGAAATACAGTTTTACCAAGAAAAGTTCATTCAGGTGTAGTGAATCCTTGGAATGAACTTAATACTTCCACATCTAGCTTAAATCTAGGGGGAAAAAAACAAAAACACTTGAGTTTATGGCCTAAGTTTAAATAGTTACATTGAATTGCAAACGTAAGTAGTTTGAATTTTTTGTTTTCCTAAAGAATGCAACACACACACTTAAACATCCTTTTTTTGTTATTGTTGTTCATCATGGAACTTGAACTCTGGACTTGGGCGCTATATCCCTTAGCTCTTCAGCTCAAGGCGAGCACTCTAGCACTTGAGCCACAATGTCACTTCTGGTTTTCTAGTGTTTTATTGGAGATAAGAGTCCCACTGACTTTCCTGCCTGAGATGCCTTTGAACCGTGAGCTTCAGATCTCAGCCTCCTGAGTAGCTAGGATTACATGAGTGAGGCACCAACGCCTGGCTTTAAACATCCTTGATTTTAAATAAAAATAAATTTATACTAAAGAAATAAGAACAAACAAAAATAACCTGTACCATGTAATTACATTGACATACAGAGGAAATCCTCTGATAATAGAGAAAACAGGTAAAGTAAACACATTGAAACTTTGGGGTTTTGCCTACGTTCTGCTGTAAAACAAACAAAACACATTTCACAAATACTTAACCGCCTCAGAAATTTCCACAACCAGATTCCTATATTGGAAAAAAGTGAACCTGATTACAGAACTTATGACACTTTACCATGAAAATATCCCATTTCCAATGACTGGCATAATGTATGAAATGAAATCATAATATATGAAAATAAAATGTAAATATAAATAGCATAAATATGAATAACGAAAAAGTAAATTATTAATTGCGTTGTAACAATTTAAGACAAATCTTAGACACAAGACTAATTCAACAACACTTTCTAGCAACTGTCAGTGTGTTTTATTCTATAGTGTGCAGAGGCACTATAGAAAAAAGCCTTAGTTAAGAAATGTACGCATTATCCTGTCCCTGTAATTGTAACCCTTCTGTACAGTATGTTCACAAATAAAATAAAATTAAATTTAAAATAAAATAAAATAATTGTAAGCATAAAAAAAAAGAAAAAAGCCTTAGTAACAAGAGGAAATTTTTGTATAAAAATTTTTGTATAAGAAATATCAACAAAGATTTAGAAATCATCAAAAGTACTAAAAAGAAAATATGTTTTGTAATGTCACTTAAATGAAGTTGCTCAATGGAGAACTAGACAAAAAGAATACAAATTTTCATGTATGCAAAAGTTTACATCTGGTAAGCTAACAAATAAACTTTTTCTGCAAGATTAGATGAATAATGAAAATATTTCAGAATCCATGATTGGCAAAACCAAGAGCGATGGTAAAGCTATATGAAATTAAATAGCCTGGCATCACTGGTTCATGCCTGCAATCCAACCTACTC